GGTCACTTAGATATTGGTCTTCACAGAAAGGACTCTGTTAGGAAGGCAGGCTGTAGGGGCTGCCAGTACAATAGATGAATGTCTTTGTCTCTTTCCCTAAGGTGACTCTGGCAGTTGCTGATGTTGGCCAGGTGATGGAACCCATCATTTCCCTGCTCTCTAGGATTCTGGACTAGGAGTGCTGAGTTCTGCTAATGCAGACCTTGCTAATTGGGCAGAGAGCTGGTGTGACTTTGGACCACAATTGCAGTTCTGGAGACAGGAGTCGGGCAATAAGGAATGGAACTTGGCTCTCTTCAACTTTGTCTTATGTTTATTAATGAAGTGAAATTATTCCATATCTCTGATGCCTTTGTTCAAATCACATAGGTGACATAGCATAAAGTATTTCGATTTTTATTGGCTTTGGGGAATTTCCTAGTCAGAAATAAAGTCAAAGACATTAGAAAAACTCTACATACTAAACACTTAGAATTGGGGAAAACCTACATAAAAATGAAGTAATTTCATCCAAAATCAATTCTCAGTGTTTTATTTTCTTTATAAGAACTACATACTATGAGAATGCTGCATATGGCAATGATTTATAACATATGATTGCCCATCAAATATATATGTGTTTTTTGTTTGTTTGTTTGTTTTTGAGATGGAGTCTCACTCTGTCACCCAGGCTGGAGTGCAGTGGTGTGATCTCGACTCACTGCAACCTTCACCTCCCGGGTTTAAGCGATTCTTGTGCCTCAGCCGCCCAAGTAGCTGGAACTACAGGTGTGTACTAACATACCTGGCTAATTTTTGTATTTTTGGTAGAGACGGGGTTTTACCACCATGTTGGACAGGCTGGTCTTGAACTCCTGACCTCAGGTGATCCGCCTGCCTTGGCCTCCCAGATTGCTGGGATTACTGGCATGAGCCACTGCACCTGGCATGGTGTATATTTTAGAACAAGGCATTTTTCTCTTTGTATTGAAAACTCTTTGCTGGTTCTAAGTATTTTACTTCCCAAACTGGGAACTCTGAGCTATACTCTCTTGGACCTAGTCAGCTTGTTTATTATTTCTCACACTTTGACACTTTGTGGGAACCTAGGCTAAGTTCTGCTGTTTGCCATTTCTGTTACTCATTTCTTACTGGTTCAGAGTTTCTTTCTTTTCTCCTTCCTCCCTTCCTTCCTTCCTTTTCTTTCTTTCTACAGAATTTCACTCTTGTTGCCCAGGCTGGGTTACAGTGGTGCAATCTCGCTCACCACGACCTCTGCTTCCCAGGTTCAAGCAATTCTCCTGCCTCAGCCTCCTGAGTAGTTAGGATTACAGGCATGTACCACCAAACCCAGCTAATTTTGTATTTTTAGTAGAAATGGTGTTTCTCCTTGTTGATCAGGCTGGTCTCAAACTCCTGACCTCAAGTGGTCCACCTGCCTCAGCCTCCCAAAGTGCTGGGGTTACAGCAGAGTTTCATTTTTACCCTTTCTAGTTGGACCCAACCTTTTCTTCCATCTGGTATTCCTCGATTCCTTCCTATCAGGTCTCTCTTAGTAGATAGCCCCATCTTTACTTTTCTGAGATGATCATTTTGTTCATGTAGCTGTCGTTTATTGAGCACCCTGTTAGACCCTGAATTCGCAAAGATAAATTCTGTTCCTTTTAAGAAGTGTACAGTATAGTGGAGGAGATTGGTAATAAATTGGCTTTCTAACATGATCGGTTTTAATATATGTATTTCTTAACCACAGATTTTTTTTCTGTATTTCTTAACTGGTTTCTGAGGGAAAAAAAGGTTTCCCCCCTCTCCCTCCAGGGGCACCCTTTTCATTTGTGCTCTTGATCATATTCTCTCCTTGGACCCTTTCATACCATTTTCCCTCTGGCTTAGATCTTCAATATCCTTTTCTCTGCTGGCTTCATCCCCTTTGCCTGTGATAGTCTCTTTTTTTCCCTGTAGTGAAAAACAAACTGCCAACTTATGAACATAACCTGTCCGAGGTCCTCTTACGTTTTCAGACCACGTTTCTCTTACTTGTTTTCTTTGCAGAATTTCTCCAAAGAATGTTTTATCTTTTCTGTCTCTTTGTCTTCACAATTTGCTTACTTCTTAACGCCTTTGCAATATGGATTCTGGATATCTATCAGTTTACAAAGACATTCTCTCTTAAGGCACAAAGCCTAATAAAATATTTCAGCCACAAATATACATGAAGAATGGTATACTGAACACCCACTGAGCTGAGTTCAGGAACTAATAATGTACAAACACATTTGAAGACTAGGGTTACTATTTAAATTAAACTGTGTCAGTCACTGTCAATCTCCCCAATCACCTTTCCCCATTTTCCATCCTTAAGCACTATTTTGATTTTGGTATTTATTATTCCCATGCCTTTTTGTTTGTTCCTACTGAATTTGCTTCTACTTACTATTTCATTTTGTTTTACTGCACCCTAATATTGTCTTGTTGTTTTAGATTATTTAAAACTCTCAAGCATACTATTTTCTGTCAACTGTTTTCCCTTGTCATGTGGAACATTGGATAGTCACAGTGCTCCTGTTAATACTGTTTCTTCTGTCTTTTCTCCTGATAACCATGGGTATCCCCTGAGATTCTAACCTTGGCCACTTGTTTTATCTCTTGGAGTAGGTCTGTGTCGATGGCTGCTGGATCTGGTAACTTCAGTATTAATCAGTTTTCTGACATTTCTAATTGCCTGGTCATCTGCATGATCTGCTCGCTGTTCCTGCATACTGAGCTTGCTATATATTCTCACACACCAGTGCATCCCCATTTCTGTTGATAATGCTGCCATTTTCCTAGGCTCAGACTGTTAGAATTTTGTTGACACTTCTCATTTATTAAGTCATTCTGGTCCCCTTGATTTTATATTTTATCTTCACAGTATCTTTTGTATTGTGTCCTTTTTTCCCCTACAGCTCTATTGCCAGTAATTTACCCAGTTTGTTTGTTTATTTCTTTATTTAGACAGAATTTCATTCTTCTTCCAAGTCTGGAGTACAATGGCACAATCTTTGCTCACTGCAACCTCTGTCTTCTGGGTTCAAGCGATTCTCCTGTCTCAGCCTCCCGAATAGCTGGGACAACTAGGCATGCACCACTATGCCTGGGTAATTTTTTTGTATTTTTATTAGAGACGGGGTTTCACCGTTTTGGCCAGGATGGCCTTGAACTATTTACCTCAGATGATCTGCCTGCCTCAGCCTCCCAAAGTGTTGGGATTACAGGGTTGAGCCACTGTGCCTAGCCTATTTTAATATCTTCCTAATTGGACCCTGCTTTTGTGTTTTCACATGTCAGTCCATCTGTTACACTGTTGCCAGATAAATCTTCTTGGAGTAAAATAATGATCAGACCTGGCTGTTGAGAAGCTTTTGGTAGTTTTGCCTGTTGGTGGATAACAGGCTAAATAGCAACTGTTTATGGCGGGGTATTGGGCCCTTACTTTTAGAATAGTTCCTATCGAACACTTTTACACTGCTAGTGGGAGTATAAATTAGTTCAACCATTGTGGAAGACAGTGTGGCGATTCCTCAAGGACCTAGAAATAGAAATTCCATTTGACCCAGCAATCCCATTACTGGGTACATATCCAAAGGACTATAAATTGTTCTACTATAAGGACATATGCACACAAATGTTCATTGCAGCACTGTTTACAATAGCAAAGACCTGGAACCAACCCAAATGCCCATCGATGATAGACTGGACTGGGAAAATGTGGCACATATATACCATGGAATATTATGCAGCCATCAAAAACGATGAGTTTGTGTCCTTTGTAGGGACATGGATGAACCTGGAGAACATCATTCTCAGCAAACTGACACAAGAACAGAAAATGAAATACTGCATGTTCTCACTCATAGGCGGGTGATGAACAATGAGAGCACATGGACACAGGGAGGGGACCACTACACACTGGCATCTGTTGGGGGAAATAGGGGAGGGACAGTGCGGGGGGGGAGTTGGGGAGAGAGAGCATGGGGAGAAATGCCAGATTTGGGTGAAGGGGAGGAAGGCAGCAAATCACACAGCCACATGTGTACCTATGCAACTATCTTGCATGTTCTGCACATGTACCCCAAAACCTAAAATACAATTAACAAACAAAAAAAAGAATAGTTCCTATCAACCACCGCAGCCATTTTGTTCATTGTTCTTCTATGTGATATCTTCCCTTATGTTCCTGTCAAACTGTGTTACTTCTCTAGGAATATAATCAACGCTCAGTGCTAGAGCAAAAACTGCCTCTGCATAAAAGCCGTATTTTTTTGTTGTTGTTAAAAACCACACTGCCTGGAAGGGAGCTCTTAAGTTGTTCAGAATTCTGCTACTGTTTCCTCTTTCATTCTGTTTTTGTTAAGGTTGTTTTGTTCACAGCTTATCTCCTATATTAGACTGTAAACTTGTGAGGAAGGAGTATGTCTTAACTTTTGTGTTCTCCACAGCTTCTTGTACTTGGCAAGGGGTGGGTGGCTTGATTAGTATTCCCTAACAGCAGATAAAAGTGTCATATTAAGAGGTAGAAGGCCAGGCGCTAGTCGGGCGGGGTGGCACACACCTGTGGTCCCAGCTACTCGGGAGGCTGACGTGGAAGAATCGCTTGAATCCAGGAGGTGGAGGTTTCAGTGAGCCAAGATTGTGCCACTGCACTCCAGCCTGGTGACAGACCAAGACTTCGTCTCAAAAAAAAAAAAAAAAGAAAAAAAAAAGGTAGAAAAGGGAGTAAGAAATTGAGCTAGGCAGGACAAAAGTGTATTCATTAACAATTAGCAAAATATTCAGTTATTTCTACTTTGTTACTTTAGTTCTTATCAAAGTTTACTTAGCTGTTGGCTATTGTCAGCCTTAGAAACTGTTAACTGTTAAAAATGTGTTTTGTTGGTCATAGGTGTATTACATTTGCAATTTCTTAAAAGTTTTGATGTACTCAGTGATTTTAAGTAATATTATCTGGGCATATGTAATTTCCTTTCCCAATCTCTCAATAGGCACACCTTGGGCCCACCCCACCTCCACATAGCCTTAATTACAAATCAGAGGACAGGCTTAGTGAGCAAGACTGGCCAGCATATTTCAAGGTCCCATGTTGTGGGGTTGATACATCTCAAATAGAGGTATGTTGATTTTTTTTTCCTTTTAAGTTACTTGGACATACTCGCATGCTTTGTCTACCTAGTTAAGATATATCTCTCACCTATTCTTCCCGCCAGTCTTTTACTGTCTTTCATACTCATCTTCATTCTGTGAAACTCAGATATTGACTTGCTTCCTGATACTTTTTGCCTCTGAAGAAATCATTGAAAGTAGTAGATTTGATGATGGTTATTTGAATTATTTTGAATGTGATAAAGTATCTGTCTTCTATTGGTTCTCTCCCTACCTGCACTTATTTCTCTTTTCCTTTTTCTCTTCTTTCTTTCATACTGTTCTAGGGTAGTTTATTGTTACCACTATTTTTAATAATAGTACTGTATTAATAGTGTGAGTAGTAAACTTTTAAAACTGAAGTTTAACATACTTACAGAAAAGTGCAGAAATATGTGTACAGCCTGATAAATTTTACAAAGTGAATGTACCCAGGACCACCTACTAGATGGAGATACATAACATTACCTGAACCCCATAAGTGTCCCTTTGCCCAGCCACTGTTCTACACCAAAGGCAGTCACTATGTAGGTCTTCAAAGCTAATGGTTCAGTCTTCCTATTTTTAACTTGCTGTTAATAGGTTTCTGGCATCTTTTGGGTTTCTTAATTTTGAAAACAATCTCTAAAGTTCATCAACATTTGCTTTGTTTCAACATTTTTCAATTTAAATATATATGTATGTAAATAGTTTCTACCAAGACCAGTAGATTGCTCGAGGGTAGAAGTTCCTAGACTTGCCTAAGAAACATAGTGAGACCCCATCTTAAAAAGAAAAAGCTAGGTGTGGTGGCTGAGGTGGGAAAGTTGCTTTAAACCAGGAGTTTGAGGTTACAGTGAGCTACGATTGTGCACTGCACTCTAGCCTGGGTGACAGAGTAAGATCCTATCTCTTAAAAAATAAAAAATAGTCTCTGGTTTTATAAAAATTTTTGAAACTTTAAGTATATGGGGATTTTATTTTTTAAGTTGATTTTTTAGGTTTGTAAATTGCATATGAGGGAGTATCATTTTCAGTGTTGTTGGGTTTTTTTCCTGTGATAATTCTTTTTTTTTTCTTGAGAAAGAGTTTCACTCTTTTTGCTTAGGCTGGAGTGCAAAAGCACAATCTCAGCTCACCGCAACCTCCACCTCCCAGGTTCAAGCAATTCTCCTACCTCAGCCTCCTGAATAGCTGGGATTACAGGCATGCACCATCATGCCCAGCTAGTTTTTTGTATTTTTAGTAGAGACAGGGTTTCTTCATGTTGGTCAGGCTGATCTTGAATTCCCAACATCAGGTGATCTGCCCGTCTCAGCCTCCCAAAAGTGCTGGGATTATAGGCATGAGCCACCACACCCAGCCTTCTCTGTAATCATTCTAAAGGCAGTGTTGAGTTTTTTTCAATAATTTCATGAGGTACTGAGCTCTGCCTTGCAACATGATTTTCTTTTTCTTTTTTGAGACGGAATAGAGTGCAGTGGTATAATCTTGGGTCCCTGCAAGCTCTGCCTCCTGGGTTCAAGTGATTCTCCTGCCTCAGCCTCCTGAGTAGCTGTGATTATAGGCATGTGCCACAAAGCCCGCTAATTTTTTTTAAATTTTTAATAGGGATGGGATTTTGCCGTGTTGGCCAGGCCGGTCTTGAACTCCTAACCTCAAGTGGTCCGCCTGCCTCAGCCTCCCAAAGTGCTGGGATTACAGGTGTGAGCCACCATGCCCGGCCTGCAACATAATTTTCTTGGATGTTGGTAAATCTCAATCTTCTTTTCTGACAGTAATTTAAACCATTATTATGATATCTTTAATGGGACTGCAAGCTTCTTGGTCCACAGACTGTAGAAGGAAGTAAATAAAGAAATTAACATTACCTTTGCTGGGTGTGGTGGCTCATGCCTATAATCTCAACATTTTGGGAGGTCAAGGCAGATGGATCACTTGAGGCCAGGAGTTCGAGACCAGCCTGGCTAAAATGGAGAAATCCCGTCTTTACCAGAAATACAAAAATTAGCTGGGCTTGGTGGCAGGCGCCTGGAATCCTAGCTATTTGGGAGGCTGAGGCAGGAGAATCGCTTGAACCCAGGAGGCACAGCTTTCAGTTACCTGAGATCACGCCACTGTACTTCAGCCTGGAAGACAGAGTGAGATCCTGTCTCAAAAAACAAAAACAAAAAATGAATTAACATTACCTTTATAATTCTTGCAACTTTCATGTTCATGTGAAAGAAATTTCCCATTGTGTGTGCCCCCAGCCTGTTTTGTTTGTTTGTTTGTTTTTAATTCATTTAAGTAAAGCCATCGCTGGTTCTTTACTTCTGGATTTTCTCATAAAACATTGAATACAGGTTTAATAGAAAGAAGCCACTGTTATGTTTGCACTTGAGAGAAGATTAATAAAAGTCACTTTTCTTTTTTTAAACCAAAACAAGGTAGGCAAAATGTTTGACCTTTTGTAGGCACAAGATTCATGCTGACCTCAGCTGCTTTTATATCTGCAAATATCTTGAGTCTAAGGATCATCATTCCCTAGCATTTTGTAAACTACTTCATCTACCATACCCTACTCAAATCCTTTTATTTTTAAATTTTTGTAGTGCATCAAGGGGATTATGGCTTTTGGATATTTCCTCTATGTGTTTCTATGAAACTGAGCCCCTGATTAGGCTGTCAGCAGATACTGTATTATATTGATTGTTTTACTTGGTACAGACACACGTGTCAACCAGAGCAGTTTCTCCCTTTTGCTGAGAAGGTTGAAGCTTTTAGATAACATTTAGTTATGAGGGATGTTTGTGCCACTGTTTAAAGTGATTTGACCCTGTGTCCTCCTCCAACCTTATGTTAGAAGGCCTATTTTCCTCTCTTGGTCTAAGGGCATGTAATGAAGTCTTCAGTACACAAGCTTTCTCCCTCCATATAGGTGAGTGGTTTTTCATTTTTGTCACGTGCTCGGATATCGTGTTCTTGTGAGTAAACATTGGACCATCTAGTACTCACAGTACTTTGGAACAAACCAAACCAACTGAAAACTGAAGGCATGCCTGCTTCTCTTATTTGCAACTTGGACCATGACCTTGCCCCATCAAATCTTTCAGCTGTTCTGATGAAGCCTTCTATATGTTAAAATGCCCAGTCAAGGTGGCCAGAACCATCTGGAGAAGGTATAGTTACAAAGTAACATGCATAATTCTAACACAGAGGAGCCAGTGATTGAGCCTGGCAATCAGAGATGACACACGTTTTTTCTTTCCTTATTTGAGTCTGTAAAGACCCTTAAGTGCATTTTGAATGAGTTCATCTTTAAGCGGTTAACCCAAATTCATGTCCCAGGTTTTTAAGAGAATAAGCAATAGAATATAGGTGTTCCCAAAGAAGAAGACGTATAGAAGCAGATAGGTGTATAGTTCATTCATTCACAGATAGGCATGAGGTTAGATTCAGTAGTTGGCATGCATGCATCAACATGTTAATTGGAATTAAAGCCTACTACATTTAGGCTTGGCTAGATCATATGTAAAGTGAAACACAAAAGAGAATTGTTAACTAGGAAGGTAGTTGTCTAGGTTCCTTAAAGTTTAAATACAGGGATCCAACTAGTATACTTCAAAATTTTTCATGAATATCAAGCTAATTTACATCCTCTTTATAAGGATGATAACGAAAGGAAATTAGGAGCCAGTTGGAGAGTGCAAAGACTTAAGTGTAAATCATGGGTGAATCTTTTTAATTTTTTTTTTTTGTGATGGAGTTTCACCCTTGTTGCCCAGGCTCTGGAGTGCAGTGGTACGATCTTGACTCACTGCAACTGCCACCTCCCAAGTTCAAGTGATTCTCCTGCCTCAGCCTCCTGAGTAGCTGGGATTACAGGCATCTGACACCAGGCCTGGCTAATGATAGGTGAATCTTAATTGTGAAGATGAGTACCTTTATCAGTAGAGATGACTCAATATCAGAACTTTATCTTTTAAGCTCCTCTTTACTCTTCCTCCTCCTCCCCACTTCATGCCAGTAGAGTTAATATAAGCATAGTAGAGTAATATTTCATATGTGTGTGTGTGTGGTTTTTTTTCAGGTAGGGGGTGAACTTTTTACTATCTTTACATCTGTTTACATATTTCAAGGGATAACAGGGAGCTTAGATTATAGTGTAATTTTTTACAAAGGGAAATCCTGAGTTGAAATTATTGTCTTACTTCTTTTCTATTCATTTCTTAACGGTGAGTCAAAAAATTTTCCCCTTCACATAGAAAATGAAACTTTACACAATAAAATAAGGATGGCAGGTTTCACAAGGGAAAAAGGTTGCTGTCAACTTTTTTCGTCAGGAATATGGAAATTTGGGTGGATTATCTGTTCAGAAGAGGTTTCCTTTATTACTTCTTTTTCCTTTTTTCACTTAAGACATCTGTTAACATTTCACACAGCCCAACAGATGTTGCAAAGCAAGTCCCATACTTTGTTCTCAAGAAAAATGACATTTCCTCAATTGGTTCCCCCACCTCTGTGACTGAGTCCAGCCTGCTGCTTCTGCATAATTTGCATATATTAAGTTATATACCTTAATGCCATATGAATTTGTAGCTTCAGCATTATTTTTATATGGTAAAGTCTGATTTGATTAGAAACTAGTTTACATGTTGCTCTAGAATTAGGAGAGGGCAAAACGTTTTAAAACTCTTCAAGAATGGCAACCTGATTTTCATATATAAGATTGGGTAGCCAGTTTTTAACATTTTTTTTTATTATAAAATAAGTGAATTACAAAAGCTCGAGTTGTTTCGCCATAAGGAAGTGCTGATTGTCATGCGATGTGGAGCGTCATTTTTATTATTTTGGCAAGAACAGGGACAGTTTTGTCTTGACAAGCCATTAAATGAATACCAGCATGTGTCACATGAAAAACCACTGATCTTTAACCCAGCTCTGTACTTAACCAAGCCTTGAAAATGAATAGTGAATAAAAGAAGAGCAAAGGCAGACCATATTACAGATTATGGAATCTGTTAACAGTTGCTGAACTGAACCCAGGGAATTACAGGTATTGTTCTGTGAACCAGCAGAAGTTATAGAGATGCTTGTTAAATTGTATACATAAACTATACATTTATTTTATATTTGTGCAGGATTTACATTGTTGGAGACAAAAAAATCCTAGAGTACATTCTCAGTGCAGTAAATGTATGCTTTTATCATAAAATCATATATATTTACATAGAACTCAGTGAGGTTTTTTTTGCCCTCAGTTACAGAACTTATTTTAGCAATGTGCTTTTAAAGAATTTAAGTAGAAAGAAGAAAAAGTATGCAATATCTCCTTCCCCTCAAAGGGAACATCCCAGAAACATACATGCAAAACAAAATTCTTTGCTCACTTGCATTTTTAATGTATTCACTGTGGCTGACCTGTGTACACCAACATAAAATTTTTTAAAAAAGAAAATTGAGGGAAAAACCCAAACCCACCGTAATACTCAAGTATTGAAAAGACCAGTAACATTTTAAATGGTTGTGGGAATTATTGCTTACAGAGCTAACAAGAAAGAACACATTTTTTTACTCTGCTGGTGGAATTGCATTGTGCCTCCCTATAGTCTTGTTATCCCACACTAACTAAAATGCAAATTTTTTGTAACTAATTGGATCTCATTGAGGGTGCATGCATAGTGTGTAGTTATATGCAAAAAGGTTTTAAAAAGTAAAATTTTCCTGCAATTACAACTTTTAATTACTATCTAAACCATAGCACCTATAGCACAGGTTTAGAATATATGTCTGACTTTTTTTTTAAATATTACTCAAAAATATGAGCTATGAAATGCTTAATAAGGTGTCAGCTCAAAAGTTACAGGGAAAATGTTTAATTACAGCAATCTATAAATTGAATTTTAACTGTAGTCATGTGAAAATAAAGATTTGTTTTTTAGTTTAGGATTTAGTATCTTAGAGCCAGTACACAAAAGGCATGTTATAGTGCAATCCTCTTCTTGGAAGACTGTAAATGTTAAAACATCGTTAACATCAGAAATCACTTCCAGAACCATTGTCTTTTTTTCCCCTTCAGTTCTCCAATCTGTTTTACCATTGTAAAATATTTTTGAGCTTCCTTACTGTGTTTAAGTATATTTTTGCTTATGTGTTGTGGTGTGGGGGAGGTATTCAGATTCCTGCCATGTCTTTAACTTGGATGCAGTGAAACCTAGTTTGGTGGACTTCACAATTGCCACGGTCCCTTTCTCACCATCAGTAAATGTGGGAAAGCCAACAGATGGCCGTTAAGTACTTCTGATTCTTTAACCTGAAATACTCAGAATCAGCAGCAAAAAGCAATTATTGTGGAAGTGATACCTGTCTCCTTCCTTCTAGTTTTAAAGAATTTTCATACAAATGATTCCAAAGAGTTATTCCATAATTGTTAGACTATGTAGCCAGTGGAAAAAAAAGTCAGCAGACATCTTTGTGCCTTGTAGGTGTTTTTTTTTTTTTTGTACCTGTGTTGGTTAAACGATACAAGTGTCCCCCACTTGCTAGATAGAAATAATCCTAACATCAAAGGTCTACACATTATATTATATGTGGAAGTTCAGATCATGTATCTTGAGATTTAGAGGGGTCAAATGTTCTTTTCAAAAATTTAGTAAAAAATGAGCGTTAGAGAAACTTGTATCTTTTTTTTATTTATTGAGTTTGGATTAATTGTTGTCTCTTTCTGTAACAAAGCTTGTCCTCTTTGTAAAGTTGTGTTACAAAGCAGTTAAGATTTTGTTTGAGCAAATCCATTTAGCAGATGCAGTTTTGTATATTTGCTATGAAAAATGTTTTTTAAACCTTAGAAAGCTATCCTGGTGTTTTTAAGGCTTGCATTGTGGCAATAACATGTTATATTGCAGACCTGTTTCAGCCAGAGACACCTGAGTCCTTGGTGTCTGGAAGAGCTCAGTTTGCCTGTGCTGGGTAGCATTTTGTCAGAAGACTGCTGGCTGGGCAGACTAGATTTGGATGTATTAGCTAGTCAGCCTAATAACCCTGTACAGACTGTATTGATTTTCTAGGAGAGAGTTTATGAACTAAATAAACTTGGGGTTGGTGTCTTAATAAACTGCTTCTCTCAGTCTGTCACATTTAGTTACGGAGCTGTGCAGTTTAGGGGGAAAAAAGGCTAATTCTGTTACAGATTGTTCACAGCAGGGTCTCCAAATTAGCCCTTTGTTTTGTAATGCCACCTTGCTTGGGCTCGCTTTGAGCACATTTCTCAGTTTTGCCCTAATGAGTTGCAACACTGATAATGTGGCTGATGATCTTTCATTGATTTCACTATCACTTGCTTGTCTGGTAATTGATCCGTTGCTGAGCCTCTAGTTAATTATATCGGCTTTGACATGGCCCGGTCCACGGGGAATTTCAAGTCTTGCAGAATAACAGTTTTAATAAAAGAGTCTATTACTGCAGGTGCTTGCTGCTGCATGCCAGTTGATTTTTGTGTTGTTAGTGTGTGTGTGTGGGGGGGGATAGGATACCTGGGAAAGAAGAGGACTGCAGGACTGACAGAAAAAAGGGGTGGGGGGCTGGAAAAAGAGTAAGAGGGAGTGAAGGAGGGGAAGAAAGAGACAAGGAGAGGGAGAGGCCAGAGAGAACACACAGGCAAAAACACACAGGCAAAGCGATACAACAGAGCCTGAGTGGAAGGAGGAGGAAGCTTGCTATTGACAGTGTCCTTAAGCCTCCCACAAATAACAGCCATTAGTGGGAAGGTCAGGAGCTGAGCAGGCAGCTTGACTGAGGCACTGAGTGCCACTTCAGAAATCAAGAGGCTAGCAAATTTTAGAGGGAGTTTAAGTGGGTAATAGCTAGCAGTAAAGGTACAGTCACTGTTGACAATTGACTCGCAGGGGTTTCTCCTGCCCACCCCCCCGCAAGAATATTTTTATTGACCACAGGTGGACTTAATATATTTTAAGGCAACAATTCTTTGGGTTCTGGTTTGTTTCCTCTCAGATATTGAATTTGCTTCTTTTGAGACTTTTTTGTGCTTAATGGTGGTGAACTGGAGGGAAGTTTAACAGAAAAGCTTTCAGGAGATGTCGGTTCTAGAGGGGAAGGCACATTTGTGTCAACATAGTGTACGTTTTCTCATCTTTTCTCATTGTCCACTAATGACACAGAGCTGCCATTGAAGCTCTTTTCTGTTTCTTTTGTTGTTTCAGAGAGTAAGGTTTATTGTTATTCTTGAGTTAAGAAGGAGCAAGGAGAGTGGTACATTTGTCCTCGATATTTGTAGGTGGTTGAAGATTAATGTTCCTTACATTTTAAGTTTAGGAAGGATGGCTTTTTCCTGCTGACTACTTTTATGAGATGGCATGAATTTAGCTTTCCATTTTGAAGTTACTGTTTATGTACACTGCATTTTGTTCAGTGCTGCTTTTCCATAAATAAGGCAGACAAATACTTATCTAATAAATAGGTGAATAGTTTTAAAACTTGTTTAATTAAAAATATGACATGTTATCAAGGCTGTATCTCATCAGGCAGGAAAACATTATAGAGTTTTCCACAGAAATCTTGAATGAAAAATGGAGTTTTTATTTTCATTACTTTTTGCCTGACATGGGACAGGCTTTTTTTCTTCATCTTCTTCTTTTTTTTTGTAATTTGAAAGGATATTGCAGATGCTTCATCCAGGAACTTTAACAAAGGATTTTTTTCTACTTTTGAGCTTTAAGAAAAGCTATACTTTTTTCCTTTGGCATTCAGTTTCTCATTACTTAACATTCAGTTTAGTAATTAATAGCCTGAGGTACTAGATATTAAATAGTATATTTGGCACATGTTTACTGTGCATCTTCTATGTTAACAAAAACTGCTAGGCTTATTTATTTACTCTTCAGAGTATAAGGTCACGGTTCTATGTATGTTATTTAGGAGTTTCTATGTGGTTATAAATAGCCCAGCACATACGATATGACTTTCAGGAGCTAACATTTAGACGATAACTGAGCCAACTTTATATTCTTTTACAACTGAATATTTTACTTCCTCTAGTGTAATTAAAAAAATATTTAAGTATCACAGTTTTACAAATGTTAAAGCAAAGACTGGTGTCAGATATTACTTGTTATATCATAAAGCATTGTTGAGAAAAATTCCCGGGGAAGGGCCCTAGCTTCTCCTCGCCCTGCGCACCGTGATGTGGTGCTGCTTGGAGTGTGCATAAGTGTGTATCTATCTGTATATCTGGAGAGGGGTTAGTGCAGGGTGTCATTTGGTGCCTGACAGTGGAACAGTGCAGTTGACTCTTAGCTCTGTTATCCAATGACATGCAGTGGCTGAGAATTTGAAGCTGATGGTTGGGTCTCCAGTGCTGCCCGCACACCTGACAGGCAGCTGTTAAACTGAGCAAAGGCAAGCTTGGGGAGTCACAATCTATGCATAAATGATAGGGATATCTCTGCAGAAGGTGCGAAAGAAGCTCTGACCCCCTCCCTCCCCCAAATCTCCCCCTTCCCAAATGAAATGCACAGTTCAGCCAGCTTCTTAACTACACTACACTCCTGCTACTGGCTGCCAAGAGGCTCAAAAAATCCACCTTCACTTTTCAGTCAGAAGAGGCAGAAGTGGATGTGAGAGAAAGAGAGACACACAGAGACAGAGAGCCAAAGAGGGCAAGAGACTTGACTTTAAGAGACTCCTGTACTGACAACTCCATGCAGTTCGGAACCAGAACAACTACGGCTGAACCAGGGTTCATGGGGACATGGCAAAACGCTGATACTAACCTCTTATTCAGAATGTCCCAACAGGTAAGTTACTTACTTACTTTCTTTCTTTCTTTCTTTTTTTTTTTTTTTAAGAAACCTTGAATTGTTATGGGCACTTTTGTTTCTGGTGTTTTTCTTTCTAAATATTTTTTAAAATGTGGTCACTTCCTAGTTAGGCTCTGTTTTGTCCTAACTGTGTTACTGGAATGTGCAGGGTTACTTCATGGTTTCCCTAAGGGCGTCTTAAAAGAAAAAGGGAAAAGGATACTGAAGTAAAAGAAAGCAGAGACGTTTTTGAAAAGTTTCACAGTACAGCGTGGGTCAGGGGAAGACAGTTTATTTCTTTGTTTTCTGTTAAGAATAAAAAAAAAAAGCCACCACCCAACAAACGTATCTGTCAGTATGAATCACTTCGTCAAAGTGTCTGCTCTCTCGGAGTAGGTTCTGCAATCTAAAAACCAGTCATAAAATCTAGGGGCCCCTCAGAACAGCCCTACTGACTTCATGTGGCTGGAAGCAGCTTCGTTCAGACCTGAGAAGAGAGAGGAGGCTGTGCAGGCTCCAGCTGCCAGCGCCGAGGGTCGCTGGAGGAGTCGGCGTGCGTGGCGGGCTCTGCCGCTCAGTCCTGGCTCCTGAGCTCTGCTCCGCTCCTCCTCGCCAGCCGGCCCTCTGCGCCCGCCCCTGCGTTCCCTTCGCCGGCTCCGGCCCGCTCGCTCGCTCACCCGCCCGCCCGCCCGCCCGCGCACTCACTCGGGCGCAGCCTCGGCGTCTTCCCCAGAGCCGCTCCTCCGTCCCGGCTGCGCTGGAGGCGCTCGGCTTGCTGGCTCTACTGGGAAAGCCGACATGGTGAGCGCGAGGCCATCGGTTACTGATAATTAATCACCGGAGCCGGCGGCTCGTACCATGCGCTCCGTGATACGCGCCCTGCGCGCCGGGCTCCTCTTGCACAATTGCTGGTTCCTTGGCTCCGCGGGGGAGCGAGGGTGAGAGGAAAGGAAGGGGACACAACCCAGAAACTTTCATCTTGGATTGTGCTCAAGTGAGGGAGGGAAGTTCCCTGGTGCCTCCCTCCTATACACGTCTTGCTTTTCAAAAGCCTGCACCAAACCCACACAAAGCAAGTTAGTTGGGTATTATCCACACAGCACGAAAGTACTATTGACAAATATACTTGGATTTTAAGTTGATGGCAGGTGTTAAGAAATTGATATTGTGCCACTCATGAGGAAGAAAATATTGCAGCTGCTTTCTTTAAAAAAAAAAACAAAAAAAAAAACCCTTTTGTTTGTAAGAGTTCATGAAAATTAAATACTTTAAGTTAGATTTTTAAAGTTGTTGATAATAAAATAAAAGGAAACGATTTGCCAGACTATAAACTACTACAAGTTTAGAAATACATTTGCAAGAGATAATACCTACAACCAGGGTTTTGTAGCATTTAGCTAGGGAACAGTTTTATCACACAATTCTAGATAGGATAAATGCATTTGAATAAGGTGTATTTTGACATATCCTGTAGAGGGACCCTGATTACTGCTGATACAGTAAGCTGGGATTTAAATGCAATCAACATAAACTCAAAAAGTAACTCTTCGTGTGCAATTTCCCATTCTTTAAAGTGAAAAGTTGATTTCCAAACAGAGATGCTCCTTGTCACTGCAGAGTGCAATGAGAGGTGTTTACCGCGACGCATCCCTGCCTGGGTGGCTCTCTCATAGTTGGAATGCAGAGTGTTTTCGCTAATCTTAGTACTAAATAACTTGTGCCTCATTTAAAAAATTGCATGTCACCTTCAGGAGTTTCCTTGAGTTAGTGGAGACTGTGTGTGTGTGTGTGTGTGTGTGTGTGTGTGTGTGTGTGTTAGAAGGGAAGATGGCTTAGGTCTCCCTCTAGCTAGAAAAGAGTTAATAAAACCAGATAGAGATAATGATCAATTGATAAATGGCTATTGAACCGCATAGATGGTGTTAGATTGCTTATTTGGCACTAGCCCATTTCCAAGTAGATTTGAATCTAAAGAGATTTTGTCATGGAAAACATTTTACCTAAAAAACAAATAAAAGTAAATAATATAAATGATGGGTCAGAATTAAGAAAATTTATGATGTCTTTGATCCAGCTGTCTGACTGTGTGGATATTTTGTGTGTACCTGTGTGTGCATGCATGTGTAATGGTGAGCATCAGTGACTACATGGAGAGAATAGAAATATAGGGAAGTAATTTATGCTTAATGGGTGCTATTAAAACTGTGTAATATTAATTTTGCTATTTATAAATTATAGTTCAACAAAGGGAAAGAAATCAGTTTTAAATGTGTTTCTTTATTTTTTGGTTTTGATGTAGTTAGCAATCACTCCTACCTACCCACCCAACCCTGGCATTTTCTGTCATGATCACTAAATGTTTACCTCTTGTGCAGTTTCGGAAATCATGTAGAAGACGGTATGAGCTTACATTATTTTTCTCATCAAGATGACATTTTAGTTTGTATAAATATTACATGAACTTAAGTTCAAACTATGTGAGTAAACGTATGTGTGCTGTTCATAGTTAATATGTTTGTTTTTCTTACCTATACTTCATCAGCAATGCTGATTCAGCACCTGTGTGTGTGTGTGTATGTGTGTGAGTGTGAGAGAGAGAGAGAAGGAGACTTATTGAAATTATTTCTCTGATATCTCTTGAAGCCAGCTGTTTCAAGTATTACTTTCAATATATACAGTTAAGCCAGCTTTTGTTACAGGTAAAAGTTTGTCCAGTTTAATCAAATATGTAGAATTCTGTATGTCTCATTTCTGAGGCATAAAGAGGTTTCTCTAGATTATGATTTTAATTTCTAAGTAAAATTTACCTAGCTTATGAAATGGATACAATTTATTGGGTTATTTTTGAAAAAAGTTTTCTTAAATAGTATAAAAACTAATATTTCTCGATTTTGTTTTTTTTTTTAGACATTAGAAAAGTCTGACCAGTAGGGCTGCTATAAAAGGTTTCAAAACTGAGTTGTGGGTTATATACCACCAGTATTTAACTATAGATAAACTTGTGGGAAATGTCTCATGAATACTGAAATTTAGTAATCTAGTTTTGTGTGTTCTATAAGTAAAGTAGGAAGAAGGGAGACAAAAATCTTTGTCTTTTGTTTCACATGAGCAAAGTTTGGATTTGCTTACATGTAAATCTTTCTATCTAGTAGTAACAAACATCACAATCTGAAGCCAATTTAGATTTAGTGGGATTAAGTATGTACCCCTAAAGTTCAAGTTAGGACTATTGACTACATTTTCCTCTGCCTATACAGTTTTTCTTCTATATTGAAGTATGATTTTCTCAAATTATTTCTATGTAGGTAGATGAATATTTGAGAACCTTAAAGGGTATGACACTTGTGTAAAGGGAGTTCTTCTTTGGGTCAATTTGTCAGTGACAGGTGGAGAATGAACCTTATTTTGCCTGTTTTAGATTCACGAGGTATTGTTAAAAGCAAAAAACAAGGCTTGCTTTTCGAAGTTTTTTTTTTTAAATCACACTTTAAGAGGTAATTCTTCTATTTTTATAAATATTTTGTGCATTTGAGAGAATAGTAAGTAAAATTCTTATAACTATCTCAAGGGATGTAATAGTCCAGTCTATTTAAAAATCTTTTCAGAAAGGAAACCATACAGGTAAATAGCTATAGCCACATTTCATGTGTTACTGGAGGCATTTACCTTTTATTATTGGTGAGATATATTTAACCTGTTTCAAATAAAATGCAGATCCCTTAATAAGGTCTCTTTTCATACTTGAGTGAAATACTAAGTTAGAATTATAAATGACTGTGCATCATTATGTAGTAATTTAGGATTCACCTGATGATGTAACAAAATTAACGACATAATTTCATTGTGAAACTGTGTCTTATTCAAGAACAACTGTCTGACATTCCCTTACAGTTGCTTTATTTAACTTCATGCAAATATTATTAGTAGTGACATTTTTCTATTGTGCATTAGAGTCTCTCATTAGCATGATGCGTTAGTTATCACCAGAGAAATCATTTTCTAGATAGGTGAGGGGCAAACCAAGAAAACCAAAAATTAAAACAATGATTTACATTAAAATCAGAGCATCTGCTCACCAGAGATACGACTGAGTAAAAGCAAACTTTGTTACTAATATAAAAATCTAGCACCTTTCAGAGAAATGATAAATAAAATATAAGAAATGTGTAATAACATTGCTAGAATCAATTTAAAAGAGTGCTCAGTATGAATTTAACTTAAGAAATATTTTTTTCCTATTTATATAGGCCACCAATCTCAGTTTCTGGAATCTATATTTTTAAATTAAAATGGTTTTGTTCTTCTCCCCCTACTTTTTAAAGTATTTATTTATTAATGATTTAAAAGGCATATATATAATATTATGAGTCAGATGCCTAATTGTACAATCTGGTTTGAGTCTTCTTTATAGTTATACAACACATTTTTATTCTAAACTCTATCCCACTCAAATAGACATCCCTTTTTACATAGGATACATATTCTTATTTAATCAAAGCCCTGTGTAAAGCAGTTGATAGTTAGTGGTCTTTGAAAATGACTTTCATTGCGAGGAGTCATCCAATCCCTAGTTTTCTTTCTGCACTTTTCTCCCTTTTTACTCCCTCCTTACAGTTAGAATGTTTGAGTGATCTTGTCTTACTAAAAAAGGGATTAAATTGACTAAACTTGTGGTCTTAATGCTAAAATAAATATTTATATTATATTAAGAGGCATGCAGATTTAGCCTGTTGAATTACTAGGATACTACCTCCAATTTAGGCCCCCTTAATTTGAGTAGTAATATGTTTTATTTTTAACAATAGACATATATTCAAATATAATTCTCAGTATATTTTCTGATAATGAAACACTAAAATAGGAATATTTGGGTATTTGTATTTGTTAAGATACAAATTGTAGCATAGAGACAGGTGCTTGGTTTTGTCCTAAACTTTGAAGATACATGGATAACATGCGGACTTCACATAAGAGGTACTGTCTCATTTGTAATGCAGTGGGAAAGTAATAGTTCACATATATGGTATTCCATGTGGATGTAAACATTAATGGAAATAAAGCATGGACAAACATATGCTCAGATGTGTATTTTGTACATGTTAAAAACCTGTGCACAAATTTTAAGTTTATTTTCAACATGATTCATTTAAATGAATTTCAAGATAGTAGGTAATCATTTTGAAATTATTTAATTTTCTCACCTTTCTGTCATCTGCAAACAGGTCCATTATGTTTGTGTAATTTGTAAAGCCTTTTGCTAAGGTGAGCCAAGTAACCACAGTTGAAAAATAAATCCCTCTAAGGTGTAGATATCTTATCTATAATTGTAGGTATTTTTAATAATTATATTTATGAGTGCATATTCACATTCACTGATAAATCCAATTATTCATACATAGCTTTATGGAAATCTGATTAATGCAGTGACAGGACAGATTTGGGCTACCATAGCAGCACATCCTCCCACTCCTGTGTCAGGGTTAAGAGCTGCGGCAAATCCTCCCTAACTAATTAGATGCTGAATAAGGCATCTCTGAGAAGTTAGGGCAGAAGTGAATGGGATTGCAAGGACTCCAGTGATAGTGAAAGCATTCAAGTTTGCCAGGTCGTTGTGACACAGAGAGCTGATTCCAAAGGAACAGTCCGTTACAGATAGTGAGCTGGCGTCATCCACTTGAATGAAAAACACAAATTCTAGTGCCTCCCTCTCTCTACCTTATATGCATTACACACACTCACTTAAAGAAAGTTGCACCATTATATATCTGCAAAGCTTTTGAGAGGATTTTCCTTATAAACGTGAATAGCTAATGATTCTGTACAGCCCAAGAGGTATTTTCTGAACTTGGCACTCTAGATTAGCACATATATCAAAAGGGAAGAGGAAAAGAAATTGGAATTTGCTTTTACCCTGTGTCCATAATTTGAACCATAGTGTTTGAATCGATCTAGGAATTAACTCCTTTCTCCCCACAGACTGTCAGAGAACTCTGCAGTTGTAGACAAAACAGAGTGAATTGGGTGGGGTG